AAATCTAATAAATAGATGTGTATGAATAGGAAATAAGTTGTTCCAATTATCTGACAAGCATGAAGAGTATTCTGGCAGCTAAATAAAATGTTCTATTGGCCTCTTACAATTTGCCAACCAATATCTCTTCTGCTTAATGTCACCCATTTCCATCTAAAAATAATGTTTGGGGGCGCCTGGGTGGCGCAGTCGGTTAAGCTTCCGACTTCAGCCAGGTCACGATCTCGCGGTCCGTGAGTTCGAGCCCCGCGTCTGGCTCTGGGCTGATGGCTCAGAGCCTGGAGCCTGCTTCGGATTCTGTGTCTCCCTCTCTCTCTGCCCCTGCCCCGTTCATGCTCTGTCTCTCTCTGTCCCAAAAATAAATAAACGTTGAAAAAAAAATTTAAAAATAATGTTTGACTCACATCCAGGTAGGAAAACATGTCCCTTGGATTCAGAGACAAAAGATCTAATGGTCTAGGATATGGCTCGGGAGGAAACGAGGTACCACTTGCATGTTGCATTGGCAAGGTTTCTTTGCAATCCCACCAAATATTTGTGCCAATTGTAGTCTTTTATTCTTTTGTTAAGATCTTTTTTTTTTAAGTTTATTTATTTATTTGGGGAGAGAAAGTGTGTGAGCTTGAGAGGGGCAGAGAGAGAGGGGGAGAGAGAGAATCCCAAGCAGGCTCTGAACTGTCAGCGCAGAGCCCAATGTGGGGTTTGAATTCACGAACCATTAGATCATGACTTGAGCCAAAATCAAGAGTCTAAAGCTTAACTAACTGAGACACTCAGGAGCCCCCAATGGTAGTCTTTAATTTCCCTATCTATATACAATCAAACATATCTCAGGTTCATACTCTCACTTTCCAAATATCTACTCGGACATCTCCTAATAGCATATCTATTTACTTCATACCTATAAAAATATTTAAAAAAATTCTTATCACCTCTTACCTACTCTAAGATCAGTCTCATTCTTTAGACATACTTTCTAGTCTATGTATATCTACTTACAGTTTGGGCTCTGAAGCACCTCTTGCTAAATAATCTTTGAGGGTAAAATCTAATAAGGTAATGCTGAGATGAAGTTAGACTATGAGATGGTGAGTATAGATGTTATTTCTTCCTGCTTTACCAAAACTCTAAATACAGACAAGCTTTTAGAAATAAGAAGGCAGTACTAGAAATATATTGACACATGGTTGTATCACACATAAGAAATTTTCATTTACTTGTTCCTTACATCAAGATCTTAATTTTGTCTTATTTTCTGTGTGTATATATTTATTTATATGATATACACGAATACATATGATACATAAATATACATATATGTGCCCATATATATACACATACCTATACTTACATGTTTGTGTGCATGCACATCTATATTATTTTAAGCTTACAAAATGTAATCCAATTTGTAGATGTCTCGAAATTGCTAAAGAAGTAAGGAAAAATTTCACAATCAGTGATCAGTAATCAACAGTCCATGATTTAAAATAAAAATGACTTCTGTAAGAAAGAAATATCTTAAAGCATGACCTGGGAGGATGCCACAACTCTACAATGATATTTTTAGGTGTTATATATTATTTGGAGGAAAAAAAGATCTTCAGTGTCTGAATTCACAATGGCAACCTGTCTTCCTACAGGTATAATAACTCAAGAAGTGTAGGATATCAAATGAGTTCAAGGACTAGGGGATTGGGTTGACAGCTGTCATTTCCAGTTGTTTCAACCAAAACCCTATTTAAATCCCCCAACGTAGCTTAGCTTTTCCACATTCTAGTTTTTAATTTGTAAATCGGGATTTAAAGTGTTTAACCTCTTTGGAGCATATTTAACAATTTCCAGTGACATTAGATCACAGTAATTAGTATTTGTAAAGAGATTTGGGATTCTGGATGAAAGCAGTTATAAAAGTGCAGAATACTAGCATGTCTGTATATCATGAGACAATCTTAAGCAAAACAGATATAGAACAATGTGGTAATCAAAGATAAATCAAGGAATCAAGTACATTAAGCCTTCACCTTAACAACAACAGTAGTATTTTTTCCTTGGTTTTCAAGCAGAGTTTACTTTAGCAAATATATTTTAAAAAATGTCAAATATATTAAGTCAACATTTTTGTAGATAGACACATGTGGGCTTTTTCTTTTTTCTTCCCTGAAAGATGGGATTAGGCAAAGCAGCGGTAGCTGTCGGAAGCTCAAACTCCCTGCCTCCCAGAATGGGTACTTGTAATTAAAAGCTTAGCTCACCTTATCCTTCCAGTTTCCCAGGCGAAAAGTCAAAGCCTGCATTTAATTGCATATATATATGTGCATGTTTCTAAAACCAAAGCTCCAAAGAGAGTCAGTACTTAGGAGGCAAGAAGGCAATGCACAGACAGATATTTGACACAAAATCAAAAATAAAGAAAAATAGAGAAAATGGGATGATGAGACAACAGAAGTCTGGCACTTCCCTTTTGGCTTGTTACCAGCTAGAATGGGGAGTGCTTGTTGTTTGGCATTTCTATATAGATAAGCAGCAATAATAAACTGACCTAAGTATGCTCTATTGCCTGAAGGTTTGCCATAAGCATTTTCCATCTTTTGGTTGGTATATTTAAGCAGAGTGCTGTCAGAACCGGGATTAGAAAGTGGCAGAATCATTCTGTTGAGGGAAATCCAGTACCAAGTAAGACCACTGGAGCCTATCTGTGGCATGACAGTAAGGCTGGGTGAATTACTGGGAGAATGGTAATTCAGGGATCAGCACTATGACCAACCTAAAGGGAAGAAAAAATGTGCATATCTCAAGAACTCTGGGCCAGACGCCAAAGTATCTTTTTAAACAGAAAAAGGACAACAAGATAAGAGTTTCCAACAGTAGCTAATAAGCAAGGGCTAGAAGGTAGGAGTATGGTGGTAATGATCATAGGGGGACTGGAGATTAAACAGAGAACATCCAGCCTTTGAGAAGGTTGGATATAGAACCTCAAATACTCACTTGGAAATAAAGAATATTTTAACTGGAAATAAAGACCATATCATGATCAGCAACAGCAAATTGGACTCAGTGATGAGACCTGCTAAGGGCTAAGAGACAAAGCCTGAGGATTATAGATCCAAAAGGACGTTAAGGGTTATCTACATTCACACATGTTAATGTTAAGGGTTAAGGGTTATCTACATGCCCAGCACACAGTAGGTTCTTAATAAGAATGAATGCATCTTCCTTGTACAAATGGAGTAACTTAGTCCCAGACGAGGGAAGTGACCTGCCAAAGTTAAAATATTAGTGCATCATCACAGTTAGAATCCAGCTCTCTTCCAAGTCTGCAACATTTAACACTAAACTCTGCTACCTAACTCTGGGGAGCAATATGGAGATTTCCTGTTGCTGAGGGTTAAGTAAGTCCTGGAGCTGAGGTAAATGGGAATCAGCAAGCCCAGGCAGGCTTTTATGAACTGACACTAAAACTTTAGAAAAGACAAATCATCTTTGTATCAAGATGAATGTGACAAATGCTATGGTCATTACTATTTGTATGGTGATGGGGTTTTCTACAGTGTGGTTTTGGAAAAGATGCTATTCAAGAGCTTAAACTAGTGAAAAAGCATAGAGTTTTAAAAACGTTAGTAACTAGGGGGTCACTGAGGTGAAATGTGCCTGTCGGAACCAGAGCTACAGAGCACTAATTCTGTACTGGAATAAGTGAACAGCCTAAATTGGCCTCACAAGTTGGATATTTTAATTTCCTTTCTGGCCTCTCTGAGTTCCTATGATCCTTAGAGGTCTGGCCTGATTGACCTCTGGTGAAACTGCTGAAGTAAGTAACCTATTTCCCCTCTCAGGGTCTCAACCCTCATCCAAACATTCATCTTGCTGAGGATCCTGCTCAACTATAGCAATTAATTTCTCTAAGGTATTTGCTAATAAAACTGCAGTATTGTCTTTTAGTAGGTCTTCCTTCCTTCCTTCCTTCCTTCCTTCCTTCCTTCCTTCCTTCCAACAGCGTGTGCTTAATATGGCACAATCTTTTTTTTTTTTTTTTTAAGAGAGAGCAGGCACACAAGCGGGGGAGGGGCAGAAAGAGAGGGAGACACAGAATCCAAAGCACACTCCAGGCTCAGAGCTGTCAGCACAGAGCCTGACACGGGGTTTGAACCCACGAACCAGGAGACCATGACCTGAGTTGAAGTAGGATGCTTAATTGACCGAGCTAGCCAGGCACCCCTGTCACAGTCTTTTAATAGGCAGGGAAATAAATCCATTATTGAGTAAACTCAGTCATAGACAGGATGAGTGAATAAAAAAAAAAATGAGGAGCAGTATTATCTTTTTATTCCTACCCAAATCACACAATAAAGAAAATCCCTATTACAGCTTAGCCCTAGAAACTATGAAGGACTAAAAAGGGAGCCTATGCTACATGCCCCAGTAGACATGGTTTATTTTTTGAGTGGGGGTGGGGAAGATGAGCAAACTCACTGGACTTAACCATAGAGAAAATGGAGAAAACTGTTTTGTTAAATTGCCAAATGAGACAGAGACACTCCTTTCTTCACAGTGCTACAATCTAGGCTGCAAAGCAACTTGGTAAGATGCTCTAAACTGAAAACCTCACTCATCCCCTTGTGAAATTTTACATGGCTTTAGAGAAAGCAATTTCTTTCTTTTAATAACAACTCTCATCTTAAGTTGTGCCTCAAATCCCAGTTTTCTATTTCATTTCAGAAGTTCCTTCTTCAGAAAATCATCTTTGTTATTCTGTTCTCTCAATCTCTGCTAAGAACTAGGAGATCTTGTCTCTGAGTAGTTTGCTCAGCAATCTCTAGTATATCCTCTCCTACAAAGGGACACACTATCCCTCTACTTCCAGAAAACATAAGACCACAGACTTATTGATTTATAGCTTGTTTAGCTGGTGTCTCCTAGCAACTGTTTAAGATACAGAGAGGAAGAGTTTTTCAAGTCATAGAATCCCTTAGAACACAATATCATGGAATTTTAAATTCTTTCAGCAAATAAAAAGGAAACAACAGCAAACATTAGAAAGAGGTTGAAGAGGGGCGCCTGGGTGGCGTAGTCGGTTAAGCATCCGACTTCAGCCAGGTCACGATCTCGCGGTTCATGAGTTCGAGCCCCGCGTCGGGCTCTGGGCTGATGGCTCAGAGCCTGGAGCCTGTTTCTGATTCTGTGTCTCCCTCTCTCTCTGCCCCTCCCCCGTTCATGCTCTGTCTCTCTCTGTCCCAAAAAAATAAATAAACGTTAAAAAAAAAATTTAAAAAAAAAAAATAAAGAGGTTGAAGAAAACAGAAAACCAGAGTAGGGACAGAAGGTCTTCTTCACCTAAGCTCTGTATGGATTTATCTCTTTTTGTTGTACTTGTGTTATGATGGTTATATTATATAGAAACATGGCTATCCTCTGAAGTCTGTGTAGAACCAAGGGCACTGTATGACAGGTGAGGCCAGGGAAGAAACTGTCAACTGTTGGAGAGGAGGCTTCAATTTAGTTCAGAATACGTGTTGGCCTCTCTTGATCTACACTTTAGATAGTCTGATACAAAGCAATATAGTGTTAGGTGCTGGCTACTATGAAACACTCAAGAAATAACAAACTTTTATGAAGAAATCAGCAGTAACCCAAGAAAGTAAGTTACAGTTTTTCAAATCAGATGATATCCAAAAAAAATTCTTAGATTATTCTTTGTGGCCCATTTATGGACACTAAGGAATCCATGAGTTTTATTAATTATATACAGATGTGTTGCATGAGTATTTATCTGTAGTTTAATCAGTAAGAAAATCTATGATTTACATTAGATTCTCAAATGTCTATAAAAGCACAACAAGAAGACTTTTATCCTCTGTTGACTTTCCTTTACTAGTATGTTGCCTGAATCTACTGGACTTGTCTCAGCTATGGTAGGGATATTAGGTGAAGAGTTATTTATACAGGCTAAGATCAGGGTATTTACAGAGAAATCAAGTCTTATAGGCACTTTTGAGCTAGTGGCAACATTAGTAAGAAAATCCATGGGGAAAGTAGCCTGCAGAGGCAAAGTGGTATTGCATGGTTCAGGTCCTCTTTTTTTTTTTTTTTCTTTATTATTTAAGTATAGTTGACATACGGTGTTATGTTAGTTTCAGTTGCACAGCATAGTGATTTTACAATTCTATACATTACACAATATTCACCAAGATAAGTATATTACCATCTGTCACCATACAACATTATTACATAATTTTTTACTATACTCCCTATGCTGTATTTTCATCTCCGTGATTTATTTTAGAATGAATGAATTCAGTAAAGTTGCAGGAAAAAAAATTAATACACCCAAACCTGTTGCATTTCTATGTAGCAGGAAGAGAAATTAAGAAAGCAATCCCGTTTACAGTTGGACCAAAAAGAATAACATACGAGGAATAAATTTAACCAGGAAGGTCCAGCCCCTTTTTTTCTCAGTAATTAAGAATATCAACAGCATGGGTCCATAAATTTTGAATGTTACTTTTACCCCCCAAATTTTTTTTTTCTGATAAGAACCAAGAGGGTTTCTGTAAAAATGACATTTAATGCAGCAGATGCAAATGATATGCAAATGAAAGGCCAATTGGCACCTGCTATTTTCTTTTAGCAGAAATCACAGATTTTAAATAATAGATCTGAACTATAAATATACCTAACTCTCATTCTATTTCCATGAAGAGATGGTAATGAAAGGCAAACTTCAATCAGTATTTGCTGGACCATCAAGGAAGCACACATACTAGCTTGCCTCAGTTTACTTAAGTGTATATTGTAGCTGCCCTGCCTACCTCACAGGATAGTCATAAGGGTCAGAAGGGCCAAGTGATTCAATGAATATGAAAGCATTTTACAAACACCAAAGAGTGGTTCATTATTGCCATGTATATATGTTAGCACCTGGATCTCTTAAGCATTCCCTGGTGGAAAGGAAAAATGGCTCAAACATCAGACAGTCTGGAAAAATGAATCATAATTCAAAATTTGTACTCTCTTATACTCAACAATTCAACTAGGAATGTAACCCAAAATTATATAACAATATATAATCATATTAATATCAACATTGTATTTTTAAGGTTCACGAGTATTGTTTACAAGAATGTAAAGATTGAAATAACCAAAATGCTCATTAATAAGCAGGTGATCAAACATAATAATTTTAATATATAATGTAGCCATTATATATGTAGGTCTATCCTTGTTAACCTAGAAATCTCTCCATAATATATTTATTGAAAAATGAGACAGTATATGATTTAGTTTTCTTCTTTATTAGCAAAGAAAAATATTGAAAAGCTATATAAATCAAAAGTTAAAAGTGGATGTCTGAGGAGAGGGGTCTAATAAGAGATTATTTTATCTTTTCTTTCTCTCGTACCAAATCCATACTTGTATAATATATGGATGGATTGCCTTAATGATCAGAAAAAGTGAATAAAGCTATTTTCATTTTTTAAATATTTTACCTTTTTCCTTGGATTATGAATTTACATTTTATTTTTTGGTAACCTCTATACCCGACATGGGGCTTGAACTCATGAGATTAAGAGTCATATGCTCTTCCCATTGAGCCAGTCAGGCATGCACCTTTTTTTCATTTTTAAATGAGAAAGAACAGTCTTCAAAGCTTTTAGCTCCTCAGAGGCCCAAATACATAGACCCAAAACAGCTCCCACCCACCATTGTCAAAATTCAAGCATGAAGAGGCAAACTAGTGAGTACTGCAGAAACATATACCACCTGCTTCACAGCTATGTCTTACATCCACGGTGCTTATCTTTGGCAGTAAAGCAAGCATGGCCAACAACCCATCAAATTTCCAAAGACCAAATTGATATTTTTCCTTCCTTCTTTCCTCTCTCTTCTCTGCCTACTCACTTTTCCTAACTCTAGGCAAATTCTCTTTATAACTTCATATCAAAGGAAAGAAAGACTGTTTGCTGGAAAGATTGGAGAGGCAACTAGAGGTGACCCTTGAACAACATAGGGGTTAGGGATGTCAACCCCCTCCCCCCAACACAACACACACTGTTAACTAGATCCCTTACTGATAATATAAACAGTTGATTAACACATTTTCTACATGTATTATGTATTATACTCTTACAATAATCACTAAATTTTTCTCAGTTTTCTTCTCTTCCCTTCTCTTTTTTTCTTCTTTCTTTCTTTCTTTCTTTCTTTCTTTCTTTCTTTCTTTCTTTCTTTCTTTCTTGATATTTTAGGCTATATAGTTTGTCCACAGGTTTCTTCAAATTGTCACAAATATCAAAAAAAATCCCAATACATTTATCGAAAAACATCTGTGTTTAAGTGAACCCATACAGTCCAAATCTTTGTTGTTCCACGGTCAATTGTATTAGCAAGTTTCTCTTGTTTTAGACTTGAATTCCAATTCCTACCATATCAATATAGAGGGCTGGGAGGAGGGAAAGAAGTAGTATGTTTTGAGCCTTGAAAACATGCCAGTTCTTTTAATGTAAATAACTTTTGCTTAAAGTTCAAAATTACCCAAGAAGTAGATTTTTTTTTCTTTTTTTCTTTTTTTCAGATACTAAAACCAATGAACAATGAATAACTTGCTCAAGGTCACCTGAGTCCTATATGGCATAACCCATTTCTGATCTTAGATCTGTATGACTCCAAAGCCAAGGAGCGTGCATCCTTAATTCAATAAACCTTATTGTCTACTACATGCCAATCACTGCATTAGGTACAGAGACTATGTAGCCGTGGTCTTTGCCTTGGACCTCACAGACTAAGAGGAGACTCTGGGAAGACAATGAGATGACACAATGATTTATGTCATTATTTCTATAATAATATGGGGATAGCAGTTCTTAAGCTGTTATCAGATATTTATTTTACAAACACAAACTCAGAAAACAAAAACTAAAACAAAACTCCTGAGATAAATCTGGCCTGTCCTAGGTAGCACACCCACTCTCTCCATTTCTATGCTATGTGTAATACACAAATTACTAAATACATGTAATCTGATTATATTAACAGTTTTATATTATATATGCAGATTGTGTTGTACTGATTTGGTGTTCAAAGTAAATGTTGACAACTGTTATTAATATTCACTTACCTAAATTTACAAGTTGATCTAAGGAAGTTGGCTTGAAACATATGGTAATTTTTTTAAAAGGAACAATTTTTAATTAGGGAAGATTTGAAAATCTAGGGAATGTGTTTTAATTCCTTGAGGAGTTAAAGAAAATAGATATTAAAATAAATAAAGGAAGTAAGCTAAGCATAGTAACCATCAATTAAAAATATATATACAAGTTTCAGGGAGGATCATAGTAACACGGGTCATGCTCATTACTGAATTATAGATTTGTCATACCATGTCTTCGTTGCAAATCTATAGCTCGAATTTCTCAATGTTCATTCATGACATTCCAGAAAAATGCTATTTATTTATGTATGGATTCTTTAACAATAGAATAAAATATAAGAAATGAATATTTGTGTCATATTTAGTTAGCTTTTACATATGGTGCTGATTTCTTTCTTTTAGTCCTGTGGTAGCATTTTGCATTTCATACCTGCTATATTAGCAACCTTGGTGAAAAGATATGAGATTTTCAAATGAGAGATGGGTATCCATTCCCATTCCTGTAAAAATGAACAAGTATATACGGAAGAGTAAGAAAATGAAAGCCTAGAGATCCTTATCATTTTCTCTTTTGTAAGGCTTAATGTACAGAGGCAAAATACAAATGAAGATGGGGACCTGGGTACACCCTACCCTCTGGAATTTGAGGCTGCCCCACACAACTGCCTGTCATGTTGACCAGGGGTCCCTATTGTGAAGCTCTGGATTGAAATATTAATGGTGCTCAAAATCTAACTCTATTTCCTTCTTTCTTCCTTCTAAGTTGTGAATACATTAGCATCTCTGGCTGAATGAGTACCTAGCAGCAACCTCACAATATATCTAAGGTAAAACAGAAAACATAAAAAAGGTACTTTTGAATGCTAAGTCAACAATGCTGTTCAAATAGATGGGATGTCAGTAATTGCACCTAAAAATACTATTCACTATGTTATTTCTCCTTAAAAGGTAGTATGTGTCAAAATGAAAGCTGCTGACTTTGGCTTAGACTTCTACCACTCATCAAGGGCAGCATGGAACCTGACATAGGAATCAACACAGACCTCAAAAGCACCGAAAAGGGCAAGAGAGCTTCACAGCTGCTCTACGATAAACTCTCTACTTACTTAACAGCACTTTGTAAACCCAACTACTAGAAAATGATGTCTCTAACTGTTCAGTGTCAGTACATTGTCAAAATGACTGGTATTACTTGATATCTTTTTAATTTGCAGCTTTCTAGTACTATTTGAGAAACGGAATGTTTTTGATATTATGCAGCCATCGCCCCATAACAACCAAGTTTTAATTTCATACAAGGAGCATGCAAAGTGGACACAGGGGAAATGTGCAGTTTGGTGCACACAGGATAGGGAGTAATATCCCACAGGATGGCATTTTAATCACTGCTCCCCAATTCAGGGTTCTAGGAGGCTTGTTATTTTCCAAGTCCAAACTAACCATTCAACTGCACAACTTTTACAAAGACAGAAAGGAAAGAGGGGTACAGACTGCAGAATGATTTATTGGAGTTGTAATGCTAAGACAGCACAAAAACCCCATAAATATTCTTCTTAATGTTTTACTTTATATGACAGCCTTCAAGCGATATATCATCTGACAATTTTCAAGATGGCTATATAAACACATTCTTTGCTGCAGTCTAATATATGATGAAGTCTCTGCAGGCTAATATATGGAACAGAGTGTGTTTTAGTGTGCATAGTCTTGATAATTGAGATTTCTGTACCTAAAAAATCTATCTTGACTTTGTACAGTGGGTTTCTTTTTAACATCTCAAAAGAAAAGAAGTGAAAGCAAAAGCAAAAAACAAACAAAAAAACAGTCAAGAGTAGTACCACACCTGTGTTTCCATTCTTACCCAACCAACCCCGAGTATCTGTATTTATTTGCGTAAGCAGAACTCACAGCACTACAATCTCTTTTCTCATCTTTATGGAGCCCTATACCAAACCTAAAGTTTGACAGTACCTTTTAAACTACATGTTTAAAATTAAACATACGATATTTTTTTCTTGGTAAGGCAGCCAAAGACACTAAAAGTATAATGCTGCAGAAAGAATCCTAGTACCCACTGAAATGAGAAAGTATAACACAATTATTTATTATTTTGTTTCCAAAAATTGGCCAGGGGGGTGACAGAGTGGCTCAGTCAGTTAAGCATCGGACTCTTGACTTTGGCTCAGGTCATGATCTCGCGGTTCGTTAGATAGAGCTGTGAGCCAGGTTCCACGCTTACAGCATGGAACCTGCTAGGGGTTCTCTCTCCGTCTCTCTCAAAAATAAATAAACATTTAAAAAAATTTTTTTAAATAATACAAAATGGCCAGAATTTGATACTCTGCATAACTTAAGCCTGAGCCATGCACCTTGCAGCAGAGGAGTGGGGAGGAGGAAGCTGTCTAGAAACACAGAAATTTGTGCTCTGAAGAGGTATCCTAGGGTAGATGTGAGAATGCCAAGGGAAAAGAGCTGAAGACCAAACTGCTAGATCCAAAATAACACTGAATCCTCTAGGTTTAGGCTGGGTTTTCCAAAAGGTCTGATTAAAGAAAGGGAAACAAGGGAGTCCACGGAGGGATTGGCTCGATACCCAGCAGTAGGTGAGGGTACTGAGCCCGCTGTCATGAGGTGCCACCAGGATTCAAGCAGGACACTGTGACTGAAGGTGCTGGGACTAGGATGTAGACCCTAAAGGCAGATATCTGCAGGAGTGAGAAGGGGGCCAGAGGCCTACACAACTGGGCTTGGGCTTTGGGTTTGTTACAAGGGGCTCAGAAGGGCAGGCAGCTCCGAAGAATGGAATGGAAATGTGGCAATGCACAGAGAAGGGGAGGGGTGGTGATTAGAGAAAGAAAGCTCAGCTTGGTGCTGATGCAGTCCTTGGGAGAAAAGGGACACCTGGCATAGGGCTACAGACTAATTTTCTTATTCCTGCTGGTAGAGAATTAGTTTCTAATATACCACCAGGCCTGAATCTTAATGATTCAGGAATTAGGCAAAGCTGAGCAATCTGTTGGGAGCTCTTCAGTAGCCACAGCTGGGAGTACAGTGGCAGAAACTGACAAAGGAGTCCATACATAGCAGGGATCTTTTTTTATTTTAGGAAATTTAAAATAAATGGGAGAATCCATTTAAAGGGACACATTCGATGCTTCAAGAATACACAACGCTTAACTATCTCGAGGAAGAGAATCTGTCACAGTGACTTTTTTTGTCAGTTGCAAATATATAAGCCACATGTCCAAGAATTATTCTGTAGGGTACATTCAGTCTGGTCTGACCATGCTTTTAAACAAAATGTGTTTCTAGGGAAAGTCTCAATGCACGTCCTCAGTTCTGTTTTCAGTATCAGAAGAAACGCAGATTGTGGCTACTTCCTCACAAAAGAACAACTTGGGAGAAGAGGGTGTGGAAGTGTCAATAAGATGATCTTTAAGGTCACTTGTAACTTCAGCATTCAATTATTCTATCACTCATTCATTCATGTAGCACATGGGCAGTACCAGAGGCTGCATCTCTAAGGAAAGGATTCTTCCATCTGCACACGAACTATTTGGAGAGGAAGACACTCTTCGATGCTTATTTGCTTTGAGTGTGGTTAGCCAGGAGTGAGGAGTCTGCAATCTCCCCATCCTCCACTAATCCAAACTATCCACTTGCCAGGGAGGTGCTAGTTTACTGAAAAGAAGAAAAACTGCTCTAAAATCAAATCAGATGAATTCTGTAGTAGTGCATACTCATTGAATCAGAATCTCTCCTGGAAAGGCAGAAGTTGGAAAGCCTCGGGTAGAGCAACTGAGCCTGATTTAGTCACAAAGCTTCCTAATCCCATGTATAGAGCACAAATGCACATAGCATCATTTCCCTTCATGAAGATAAACTCAGTTTTCCAAATGTCTTTGAAGAGAGGGAAAAAAAAGACTTTTCTAGCAACAGAGCTGACAAAAACTACATAGTCACTGCTGATTTTTATTTACTGGATCAATTAAGTATTCTTTTAGAAATTCTTGAATGTCCTATGACTACTTTAATAGATGTTTCTCATCTTATGCAGTTTTAATTCAACAACCATTGAGGGAACAAAAGAGATTAAAAGTAGAGGAAAGTGGGGGTGGGGAGGGAAGGCAGGGAATTGGGGGAGTGTCCCTGGGTTGCGGGGAGTTAAGCCTCCAGCTCTTGACCTCAGGTCAGGTCATGATCTCATGATCTCATGATCTCATGATAGGACTGAGCCCTGCACTGGGCTTTGCACTGATAGCCTGGAGCCTTTCTGGGATTCTCTCTCTCCCTCTCTCTCTCTGTCCCTCTCTCTGCCCCTCCCCCACTTGGGCGCTCACATGCTTTCTCTCTCTCAAAATGAAATGAAATAAAATAAAATGAAATAAAGTAAGATTAAAGTAACAGTATCTGCTCTCATGGTACTTACCACCTTTATCTGTACTGTTCAGTACAGTAGTCACTAGCCACGTGTGACTACTGAGCACTTGAAAGGTGACTGATCTCTATCGAGATTTAATACAATGTTAAATACATGTGAGGTTTCCAATATTTGGAACAACAACAACAACAAAAAAAACAGAATGAGAAACATTCATTAATTTTTATGTAGATTAAATGCTGAATGATAAATATTTTGTATACATTGGATTAAATAAAACATATTAAAATTAATTGTGTCCTTAGGCCCTAATGTAAATGCTATGGGCTTTGGATGATAATGATACATCAATGTAGGTTCATTAATTATATAACAGAATTGCCATTCCAATAGGTGATGTTGATAACAGGGAGGCTGTTTGGGGGCAGGGGATGTATGTGAAATCTTCACATTCTGCTCAATCTTCCTGTGAATCCAAAACTGCTTTAAAAAATAAATAGCATTTTTTCAAAAAGAAAAAAAGTAATAATTTCCTTTTTTAGCATTTCTTAACCTGGCTACCAGAAAATTTAAAATTACATATGTGGCTCACATTAGTGGCTTGCATTTTATATGTTTTGGACAGCACTGATCTATAATATGGTTGATATAGAGCCAGTAAACCCAAACCTATGAGACAGTGTATCAAGTGCTAGAAAGGGCTACAAGTAAAATATAATGGAAACTTGTAGAGAGTGTAAGTTATCAAAAGGAGATTTTCCCAAACTCTCTGCCCCCAAACCTGCACATACTTGGGAATTCACACCTTACTTTCTGTCTTTTCCTGTTGCCACAAATAATTAATTAGCTTCCTGTTTAAGGCTAATTCTTAGTTTGCTTTACTTTCTTCCCTGAGACTTACAAGAATTTTCCCTCTCTTCTACATTTTCAATTTCAATCTTTCTACTGGACCTTTCTCTGTAGTATGTAAACATATGATCTTTCATAATTTAAAATATTCCTTTTTCACCCCATATTTACCTTTAGCTTCCAATGTCCTTTTTTTTTTTTCACTGTTTCACAATCTTCCTATAATAGCTCTCACTTGGAGTGTCACCATTTTACACTCATTCCCACCTCAATCCAGGGTAGTCTGGCTATACCCCCAGAGTTCCACTGAAGATGTTTTTTCCAGAGCTCACACTGATTCCTTTTAGGGCAAATTTAATAGGCACTTCTCATTCCTTATATTACACAACTTCTTAGAAGCATTTAACTCTTGCTTATCTTTAACTTATTTCCTCCTACTGTGCCATCACACCCTCTTGCTTTTTCTCCCTTTGCTTTTCTGGCCATTTCTGCTTAGACTCCTGGACCATTCCTTAAATATTGGTATTCTTCACCTTCATGTTTTAGCTTCACACTCCTGCATACTACTCTGTTGTTAAGTTAGTGACCACAGCATTCTGAAGATTCTCAGATCTAAATTTTCAAATTATAGGTCTCTCCTTTCTTGTTCTGTATACCCAGGTTCCCACTGGATCAACGTTGCTATTGTAGTTTGATAACAACTATTATAAACTCTACTTCCTCCCTGTATCAGCTTCCATCACTTTTTTAATTTGTTTTATGTTCATATTATTTGGAAATTCTCTCCATTCCTCAAATGTTCTGTGTATTTTATTTCATTTCATTTCATTTTATTTTTATTTTTTATTTTTTTAACGTTTATTTATTTTTGA